TTTTCCTTTTTTAAAAAAAAAAAAAAAAAAAAAAAAAAAAAAAAAAATTCACAGCCCCTGTAGTGAGTCCAGACAGCAAAGCTTAGCCCTACTCTTCCCGGCTCCCTGCCTCCACTGCCAAGGCTATGAACCTCAGAACCACGGCTGTAGACTGGGAACGGTCTGCACAGGTTCTGCGCTAGTTCCCAGGTCCCACCCCCAGATGATGCACAGGCTAAACAGAGGGCTGGAAAAGTAACTCACCTGCACCACCCTCACCAGGGTCTCGGGGTATTTCTCAAAAATTCCTTGAAAAGCCACTGCTGGAAGCCGGAGGATGGTACATGGGGTAGCTGCTCGGGCAGAGACTGTTTTGTAGGGTGCGGTGTGACCCTGGAACAAGCGGTTCAGTTGATCCCAGCAGAACTGCTGTGATTGCTAAGACCCTGCAGAGCCCCACAGGACACTGAAATTCCTGTTTTGGGGACTCTGTACTCTTCCAGCTGTGCTGAAGGACAGATGGCACTACGTTTCTTGATCGTGGCAGAGACCCACAGGGAAGGCCAGGCTGCGGGTATGTGTGCAGGATGGGCTCCCACCTGCCACTAAGAATCTCGCATCCTACCCACCCTAGCTCATCGTTATGGCCATCTGTGGACCTTGCCAGAGGGACATCAAGACACACTCTTTCTAGCTTCCCAAAGAGACCATGACAGAGTAGGAAATCACCAAGTCAGGTCACCATGACACTGGGCCCCTGCCACTGGTGCCTGGGACCATTCTAAGCAGGGCACAGTGTCAGGCGGGTCATGCCCACAAGGCTCACGCAGTCAGGTGAGAGCCCAACAAAGGTCCCAGCCAGTGGCTTCAGTTTCTATCTTCTAGAAGCCAGTAGTATTGACAAGACTGTTTCACACTGAAAAGTTCTCCATTTGGGTCACAATTCTAGGACTTCAACCACCCCACAGGCTCAGTACAGCCCCACATGCATGCCCCTCATCTCCCTCTCCTCTGTTGCCAGTCTCAGTGGCTCTGCTCCATCTGTGAAAGTCAGCGTGGGCTCTGAGCTGTTGTGTGCACTGGCTTTGGCACCCTGAGTCCTGGCCACCACCTCTCTCAAAGAGGACACTGAGACTGTTTCCAGGATCTGACAGCCATGACAAGGCTGCTCTAAACACACCTTCCCAGGTTTCTGTGTGTTTTTACTAAACACTCAGTCCCTAGTCCCTGGTACACAATCCTTAACTCCATTAAGTAGTTGCCATAGGCCCAGGGATTTAGCTCAGTGGCACCTTGACTGCCTCACAACTGCAAGGTCCTCAATTTGATCACTAGTACACACACACAACAAAAGTGGCCACCCTAGCCAGGTGTGGTGGCACATGCCTGTAATCCCAGCACTCCTCAGGAGGCTGAGGCAGGAGGACTGGTGCATAGTGAGACCTTGTCTCAAAAAAAAAAAAAAAAAAGTTGCCATATTGTCTCTGGGGCAGGGCACCCTCCCACATGCCACCAACACTGGTGCATGTTCTTGTGGCCCCATCCTCACCAGCACTTGGCACTGTCTGTGCTGTAAAGAACTCACAGTCTCTCTGGTTCCCAGGGATATTCAGAAGATCCTGAAAGACTGCAGTGTCTGTTACTCACAGTGGGACCCGGGCACCATGTCTAAATTTTTACTGACAGGTGAAGTGGTCATAGGCCCAGGACAGTGTCAGGACAGCAGGACAGGGTGTCTACACCTAGAAGACCCCACCACAGCTGCTGAGGCAGGAAACTTTCCAGAGAAAAGAGATGTAATTAACCCAGTTTTAGAGGCTGGGAGCCAAATAGCATGACACAGGCTCTGGCAAGGGTCCCAGCTTAACTGTGCAGTGGTGGGAACACCTGTGTATCTCTGTTTATATGGCATCTCCCCTTGTCTCCCAAAGCTACTAGGATCCAAGCATGGGTTCCACCTGTGACCTTATCTATTAAGCACTTCCCAGAGGTTCCACCTCTTAGTAACATGGTGGAATGAAGTTTCCATCTTCTTGACACAGCTGACATGGACAGCCTTATGGGCTGTACCTGCCAGGCCGGCTCCCACAGGGCTCCCACTTCTGGGCTGCCTACCAAGTCCCCCAGACCCGCACATCGCCATGACACCCAGATCACACCAAAATAAGTCTCAAAATATGGTAGCATGAATCCTTCACCTTTGTTTTCTGTTTCAAACTCCTTTTTGAAAATTTCTTTTAAAAGTCTTGGTGGTACTGAGGATTGAACTGAGGGCCTTGTGCAGTGTAGCCAAGTGCTCTACACTGAGCTACATCCCTAGCATCCCCCTTTTTCAAATTCTTCTAGTTACTATAGTGTCTTTGCCATTCCACAAAATTTTATAACCACTGACTTTCTATAGAAAAAAGCCTGCTGGGATTTTGGCTGGCATTATGTTGGATAATCTGGAATATCTGCCTTCTTAGTAGTATACAGTTTTCCAAACCATGAAAACAGTGCATTTTTCCATTTAATTTGAACATCTTTGCTTTTCTTCATAAATACACTAAGATCTCAATTCACAAACACTTCTTTTCTCAAACAATTCTGTTCACTAACAGAAGCATTCAGCAAAATTTTGCTACATTCGCAAGCTCCACATTGGATGACAAACACAACTGCAGCCACCTTCTTCAGAATCGAGGAACAAATACAGACCATGAACCAAGGTACTGCTGTAAAGTGAGTTTTCAGCATACATGTACATGTAATTTGTCAGATTAACATGTATTTCAGGTGTTGGTGCTATTTATTACAAATGCTACTGTTATTTTTAAATCCATTCCTATTTTTGTTACCTAGGGCCTTGTGCAAGCTAGACAAATATCTACCATACTCGGTCTGAAGTGTTACTGTTTTCAAATTTGCAATTTCCAACTGTTCGCTACTGATATGTAGAAATACAACTGGCTTTTATATATAAACTCACTTATAAGTTCTAACAGCTTTCTTGTAGGCCCATGGAATTTCTACTACGTAATTGCTTGTGCAGAGACTTAATTTTTTCCTTCCCAGCCTGTATGCTTTTTCCTTCTTTCTCTTCCCTCTGTGCTTGGGGATGAGGTGGGGTGAGGTCCAGTGTCCCAGCTGTCCCCTGTCCCTAGCAGAACCACCCGGCCCCTCACTATTGAGTGTAATGGCAGCCTGGTGTCTACTGATGTCCTTCCTAGGTTAGGATGTTCTCTCTAACTGAAATCATCCCAAATCTTTCATCATGAATAGATGCTGATTCTATCAAGGGTTTTTCTATGTCAACTGAGATGATTATATGGTTTTTCCTCTTTAGTCTGTTGATGTGGTGAACTTTCAACTGCTGACTTTCAACTGCTGAAGCACCTCTGCATCATTAGAGAACATCCCACTCAATGACGATGTGCTCCCTTTTCTATACACAGTGGGACTCAAATTCTGACAGTCTATGAAGATACAATATCCCACTTTTCTTTGTAATGTATATGTTTGGTTTGGTATCAGGGTAATTCTGGTCTCAGAAAATGAGTTGGAAAACATTCTTCTTTGCTTTTCACAAAAAGTTGGTATAAAATTCACATTATTCCTCTCTTAAATGTAACATGGGGTAGAACTTCCTGTGGGAAGACTTTACTTACAAGTCTGATATCTTTAATAAATATGAGAGTATTCAAATAACATACACAGATCAGCTTTAGTTCAAGCAGTTACTCTCCTTACACTGGACTTCTCAAATAATATATACATTCTAGAAAGCAATTTGGTAGTTTATCTTTCAGAAAACTATGGACTTTAAGGGCATAAAGTTGTTTGTAATATTCCTATCTTAAACTGGGCATAGCAGTAAGCACCTGTAATCCCAGCACATTGGGAGGCTGAGGCATGAGAATCTCAAGTTCAAGCCCAACCTGGAAACTTAGCTGTCTCAAATTTTTAAAAAAATGAAATAATTCCTCTGAGCTGGGGATATAGCTTAGTGTGAAGGCCCTGAACTCAGTTCCTAGTATTGGGGGAAAAAATCTTTTATTAGTCCTTTGATTTCTATAGGGTTCATAGAAATGTCCCTTTCCATTTTTCTGTCTTCTTTTTTTTCCTTCACTGGTCTTCTCCCTGAGGTTTTTGCATTTTTTTAGTGGTTTTCTGAGAACCAACTTTTGGTTTCACTGACTTTATTGCTTTTCTATTTTCAATTTCATTGACTACTGATCTGATCTTTATTACTTTCTTCTTTCTGATGCATTAGATTTCGTTTGCTTTTCTTAGATTCTTTTTTTTTTTTTTTTTTTCTTTTGGTACGAGGAATCGAACTTGGGAACTTGTGCTTGTGAGTCAAGAGGCAGAACCCCTGAGCTAAATCCCTGGTCCACTTTCCTAGACTCTTAAAATAGAAGCTTGGATCACTGATCTGATATCTATTTTCTTTTCCAATGTTAGCATCTAAAATTATAAATTTTAATATGTTGTATTTTACTTTTTAGTCCATTTGAGTATTTTCTGATATTCTTGTGATCTCTCTTTGGCATGTCATTTGGGAGTACATTTCAAATGTACCATCAGCAGTGTCTGAATTCCAATAGCAAAGTCACAAACACCGGGATGCTGATCAGAGTGAACGAGTCACCAGGCTGCAGATGGCTGAGCCACAACAGCATCTGCCCACAGAGGGCTCAAACTGATTGCCTTGGTAGGCTGAAAACACTGCAGAAGAACTATACTCAGGACAATGCTACTTATGAGACTTAGAGACTAGCAAAATTATACCATCCATTGTGCAAGCAACAGAGAAAATTCAGAAAAGTAGTGACAGCTGGGGAAAGGAGGGCTGAAGCTAGAGCACATGAGTACCTTGAGTAGTACTGGTGGTTTAGTAGTACCTGTGCTTTAGCTGATCAGAGTCACAGCCAGTAAGTCTGTTTGCTACCCCATGCAAGATTTCACAACTCTGAAATAAAGTCTACCCCCAATCAAAAATGGCAGAGTGGGGGGCCAGGGATTTAGCTCAGCAGCACAGCACCTGCCTACCAAACCCAAGATTCTGAGTTTGATCCCCGGTACCCCCCCAAAAAGGCAGAGTGAAGTGTTTTTGTGTGCCACCAAGCCCCAGTACTGAAGAAGGAAAAAAGACAAATAAATCACAAATGATTAGTTATACAAAAATGATGTCATTCTGGGTTGGGATGTAGCTCAGTGGTGCTGTGCCTGCCTAGCAAATACAAGGTCCTGAGTTTGATCCCCAGTACCAAAAAAAAAAAAAAAGTCATTATGAATGACGAACTAATCACATTATACAGTAAATTATTTTCTCTCAACTATCATTCTCCCTTTTTCTGTTCCCACTATACTCAAGGAAGATAGATTCTTGTCCCTAGAGAAGATGAGCATGCTGATGCTAGCATAAATAAGGCAGACCACAGCAGGTGGAGGAGGCAGGCATGACCTTGGCCAGGCCATATCCCACAACCTTGCTTTCCAGCTGCATACATTTTGGTGCCAGAATAAGTGAAGTTCACCCTAAAAACCACAATGAGATCAGCATCAGAAAGAATAAGAAATAACTGAGAAATGGGCTGGGGACTTAGCGAAGTTATTCTGCTTCCTGCCTTGCAAGTGCAACATCCTGAGTTTGGTCCCCAGTACCAAAAGAAAGAAATAACTGAGGAAGACCTCCATCCTAGTCTTCATTGGACTATTTTTTTAAGAAAACATACCATCAGGGAATAGAGGTTATAGACTACAAATGGCAAACAGTTAACTGGTCTACCTCCACAAAGCCCAAAGCTCTTCTAGGCCTTTACTGGCTCTTCTTGGGTCCACCCACATCCCTTACACATCCAGGAGTCCTCCATCCAGGAGCCCCCATGAAGTGAGCTGGAGTCCTGGAGATGTACAAAGACCACAGAGCAGCACACAGAGAGGCTCAGAAGCCTGCACTTGGCCCTGGCCTGATCCCCACCGTCCCCTGCTGGGGGCTCAATGGAAGCTGGGCTCTGGCCTTGAAAGGCAGATTCAACATGCTCCAAGGAGGTGTCCCCTTTTGCCCTGGCAGGTCTCCCCAACCAGCCAAGTGTCTGCAAAGATACACAGGTCCCAAGCAACACAGCAAGAGGCAGGGCCTCATCCGCTCCTCTAGACCCTAAACAGTACAAAGTGAGCCTGTGCCCATCAAAATACAGCACCGGCATGCTGTCTGGACAGTCTGACATGCGCAGAGTGGGGGCTGGATCAGAGGCCCCTAAGTTGCCACAATACTCAAGCCACTGGATTCCTAGTACAGTCAGTCTGCTGCATTTCTACTAAGGTTCTGCTCACTGCTCAGGAAATATCTAACATGGACTGGAGAAGCTGAGGTAAAAGTTGCAACCATACACCGCTAACAACAATGTAACACCTATACTGCCAGTTTTATAAAAGCATAACAGTACAATTATGGGCAGTATACACCCCTTAAATTATGCTACTTGTTACAAAGAAACAAACACAAAGGTGCAGCTTCAAAAAATCAGATGAAGGGCCGGAGATTTAGCTCAGTGGTTTCACCACTTGCCTTGCAAGCACAAGGTACCAAGTTCGATTCCCTGTACAAAAAAAAAAAAAAAAAAATCAGATGAAGCTGGGAAGATGGCCCAGTACTCTTGCCTCTGCTGAGGCAGGATGACTGATCACAAAGTCAAATTCAGCCTAGGCGACTTAGCAAGGTCTTTTCTCAAAATTAAAAATGAATGAATGAATGAATGAACGAATGACGTTGGGAACAGAGCTCAGTGCAAAAGCCTTGGGTTCAATCCTCAGTACTGAAAAAAAAGTCAGATGAAAACCAAATGCCCTTTTGAGTCACAATGACATATATACTTACCAAAACTCAGGTAACTGTGTTTTGTTTCACTGTATGTAGGTTTTATTCAAAAGAAAAAGTTAAACAATGCCAACCTCCTGTTAACAGGGAAGGAATGCAGCTGAGCAGAGGCCCGAAGCAGGTGGTGACACAGACTGGTGTGAAATGTGGCTGCACTTTTCCACATCTGTGATTCTCCTCAATAAAAAGTAACAAATCGGGAGGTACCATGAGATGCCCCTTTCTTAATCCAGCTCATAGCAAAGGTCAACTACTAGACTGCACACAACGCTGTGGGGGTGGGAGGCAGCATGACCTCTGCTGCATTGGGAAGCAATCTCTTTCCACATCCCAGTACACACCTGGGCACTGCAAGTCCCCTAAGGGCTTCGCATTTATAACTGTATATACTCAGGGGACTGACACTGCTGTTCTCTGCGTAAGACTCGGAACAACGAAGACGCTCAGTGGTACAGGAGCCCTGCCTGGCCCAGCATGAGCAGTGGTGGAAGATTCTCCCCAGGAAGGAGAACAGGAAACACTTCTCTCTGCAGATTTCAGGTCTCTGCAGTGTTGACCCCGCTGTGTGTCAGTCTAAAGCACAACCACTGACAGGATACCAAGCCCTGACCGTGGCCAGATGGTTTCAATATCATCCCCACGGAAACCCTTACCACGAAGGTCTGAATGAGGCCTCCCCAGCCTGGACCACTCCCACTTGGCAACACCAAAGAGAACTGGCCTCTGATGACAAGTGACTAGGAGGGTCTAGGGTAGGCCACCAGGCCTGAGCCAGGGATTCAGGCCCCACCCTAGAGAGTGGCGCTCACCGTGATAACATCCAGAATGCTGAGGAGGCTGTGGACGCTGTCTCCTGCTGGAACCTCCTTGACCACCACCTCGGTACCATCCTGCACAGAGAACAGAGTGACGGCTGAGGCAGGGGCCATCTGCCAGATGTCAGGGCAGATGATCCCATCTCAAGTCGCCATCAATAACGTGGGCACCTGAGACAAGGAGCAGGGACATGACTGAAATTAGTGGAGTTATTGGTCCCATGTCAGCTGCATAACTTTTTAATAGTCCCACAGCAGATAGCTATGTGAAAGCACAAGAGCCTTGACCCCTGACTCACCACATCCTGGAGGCAGACCTCTAGCCGCCCATCCTGCACCACATAGATGCTGGTGTCTGGCTCCCCTGGCCGGAAGATGTACTCTCCTTCATGCAGCTGCACAAAGACCATGTGTTTGCACAGCTCCAGAAACAGCGGCTTCTCAAAGTGGCCCAGGACCCTGTAATAAGCAGAGCTCCTGATGGGACACCCTCCAGGGAAGGCAGGCTGAGGGACACAAGCCACTGTTCCCACAAGCACTGAGGCCAGAGCTGCAGATCTACAGAGTTTACCCACAATGTGGCATCACTGTCAAACAGAATTTTCAGCTTCTCAGATTTGTATTAGATCAAAGAAGTTCTTGAGCAGTGACTACAGATGGAAGCCACACACGAAGATCTCCATGGAAGGCCACAGGCACTTCTGGGTTTGGGGAGATGGAAGAAGACTCAGACTTGTAACATCTGATCCCACACTTCTCACACTCACTCTGAGTTTACCTCTCAAGCTGAGGATATTGAGAAAGACTTAAATAGCACAGGAAACACCTAGTGAGGAGCTGGTGGATACAAGGCTCTCTCCCCCTGATGCTCTATGACCAACTCCATGGGACAGAGACCAGCAACCCAACAAGAAGAGGATGGGCTTTGCCAGCTCTAGCTGACACAAGAAAGCCACAGTGAGAGAGAGAGACACAGGGAGATGCTACCACCGGCCAACACTGCCTACAGGACCCTTCCTACCTATGTGTTCTTACCGAACATTTTTCAGCATATACAAAACTTCTGATGGCAGATGAGAATTCTTCACATCAAACTCTGTGAGATCGGCCTCCAGCAGGGAGGGTGGCGGTTCCTTAGGCTGCAGGGTGGGATATTCCTTCTTGAACCGCAAAATCCTACGAGGCAGAGACACATTCACTTTGAGCGAGAACCAAGGGGTTCATAACCAATGCTAAGGCTGGGGAGGTAGCTCAGTGGTGAGTGCTTGCCTAGTATGCACAGGACATTGGGCTTGATCCCTGGGACTGTAAAACACACACACACACCCATGTCCAAATGCTCTCACACCCAAGCACATTCCATCTTTAGTGTGCCCAAGGTGGGAGGAGTCTCAACAGTGGTAAAGACCTTTGTGTCCACCAGGGAGAGAACACCCAATACCTTTTGGCCAAAGAGAGCACCTTGGTCCTCTTCCTGGCCCGCTGCCGGGGTACAGCTGTGTTCCCCACAAGTGTATGGGGGAGTGTACTCATCTGCAGGGTCAAGGGAGACTGGAGTCATTGATCCTGTGTCTAGCAAGGTCTGCAATCTCAGCCCCTTAGGACTGACCCCTCCAAGGGGCCTGCCCACCGTCCTGTACCAGCTTCCAGGGCTAGCTTTACCCTCACCCGCACCTAGCCAAAGACACAGGGGACCCACGGTGGACAAGAGCACCCCACGCAGCCCCACAGATCCACAGGATAGTCCCTGCTGACCGTAATCGGCCAAAACTCTAGAGCTCCATGGCTCTGTGAATGGTGGTTTCTGTGACCTTCTAAGAGAATGGGAGAGGCTAGAGGGGCCTGCTCAGCAGTTAACCAAAGGGTAACAAGGGCCCAGCTCTGCCTGCTTATCCCCAGATAAGGGTTCATGGACCACCAATTCTTGTTTTCTCTTTTTCCTAGTACTAGGAATTAAACTCAAGCCTTTTCTACTAAGATACATCCCCAGACCTCTTTTACTTATTATTTTGAGGCAGGGTCCACTAAGTCACCCAGGCTAGACTAGAACTTGTGGTCCTCTTGTCTCAGCCTCCCAGAGTGCATGGATTACAGATGTGCACCACCACATCCAGCTAACTACTGAGTCTTAATCTTGAAACAAAGGAGGGTAGGGATCTGTGTTTAGGATTTCCTGGAATTGCCACAGACACTGGTAAGTGAGCCACACAGCTTTCACCTCAGGACAGATACATGGGTCCTCAGAGAAATTAGGTACCCCCACCCGCAAAGGGCTGGTCCTTCCTCAGTGCAGCATCTCAGTCTCGAGGATGTCACCACAAAGCAGTAATCTGTTCTCCTTTCCATTAGAGATCTGTGCTGCATAGGGCTGATGGTGCCTCCTGATCTCATGCTTCCCACACCCACTCCCCACCACAGCCTCAGCTGCATCCAGGCCAGATGGAATCAGCCAGAGGGGTGTTTCAGCTTGGCTCATCCAGCCTACCACCCACCAGCAGAGGCCACAGAGCTGAACAGGCAGCACAAACTGAAGCTGTGGGGTCAGGAGCTTAGGGCCTAGCAGAAGACTGAGGGTTACCTTTCTCATGATCTTCCGGCCATAAAACATTACTTTGTCTCTCTTCCGGAACCTGTACTGAGGAGTGGGTTGCACCTGTCCTGTGAGGGGTGGAAAGGGGCACTGTGAGATGAGAGGGGTCATAAACTGTGCTTGAACTAAGGTAAAGCACAGGACTGGTCGGGCCCCGGACATGCTGGTGCTGGGCAGCACCTATGCTCCCCCTGGCCTGCCTCTCAACTCCACCCGTCAGACAGCAGGAGAAGGCACAGCACACAGGCTTACCTCAGAAATGTCTCTGATGAAACCAGAAGTTGCAACCTGTACCCAGACTGCAACAGAGCCAGGAGCTGGAGGGGGCACCCAGAAGCTCAAAGCCTGCAGTACATGTACACACATACACGCATGCGCACACAATTCACACATACCCCTGTCCTCCCCCAAGACCAGGATTCAAACCAAGATACTCACGGAATCCATGAACTCTTCGGTACACAAACAAAATGGCAACACCCACAAAGGCAAGGGCCAGGAGGACTCCAATCACAATCCCTGTTAGCTAGGCAGAAGAGGGCACAATGCCTGTTGGCAAAGCCAGCCATGGCCATGGCCCATATAACTCCCCAGGAAAGGAGGGGTTACCATGGTGGGCTGTGACTCTTTCTCCGCAAACCATAGTCCCCAGGAGTGCAGGGCAGGGCCCAGACAGAGGTTGTCCTGGAGAGAGAGCACAGTCAGATGGACAGGAGAGGAGCTGGGCTTCCCAGACCTGGGCAGGGGATGGAGAGTAGACAGCAAGGCAGGAGGTCAGCAGCCCAGAGCCCAGAGCAAGACAATCAGGCCAGGGTACCAAGGTGCACTGTGTCACCTGCAAGGGCACACAGGAATGTCTGTCTTCCTCAGATATAAGGTGGCGTGCCACAACATATGCCCTGTGCACCATCAATGTGCCTGAACCCTGGGCTCTGCAACCCTCAAGGTGCAAACCAGGGGACAAGCCCTAGTCACTGGGGAGGCCAAGGGCCCTGGACACCAACAGGACCTGGGCTGCCAGCCCCAGGGCCCACAGGAGCACCCACAGGAGCAGTGCTCAGAAATCTGGAGGAGGGCATGAGGTTGCCGAGGCCTGTGTTTGGTTTAGTCCCAGATACTTGGAAAGCTGAGGGAGGAGCATCACTCAAGCCCGAAGAGTTCAAGGCCAGCCTGGGCAACACAGCAAGATCCCCATTTCAAGAAAGGAGGGGAAGGGAAGGCAGGGAAGGCAAGAAGAGGGAAGGGAGAAACCCCAAGGAGCCATCTAGAATTTGAGGACATCCAACACCAGTCAATATGGCAAAAAGAAACAGGAGAGAAGGCACTGCAGGACAGTGCTAATAAGGCTTCAGAAGTCCAGACCCACAGGAGGAAGAAAGAGAAAGATAGGGAGAGAGAGCACGAGCAGGAACATAAGTGGGGAAGCAACAGAGAAAGCTGCCAACTCCCACAGGCTGGGAGTCAAAGAGGAACACAAAGCATCCAGGCATGTAGGCCCTCCTTTCCTTCTGATCCACCCCTCCTCCTAGGCAGCCAGGCACTGATGGGGCAGGGGAGACCGGTGACTAATCTTGGCTAGTTTCTATATGGGTGCCAAGAACCAAAGCCCAGCACTGGGAGAGCCAGTCCTCAGACATGGCGATCTACCCCAGAACCCTGGAGAGCTGAGGGCACTCAGGAGCATCCCCAAGGCACTGTTTGGCATCCAGGCAGAATGAACAAGTGTCCAGAAAACCCACTCTGTGCCCTTGGTTCCAGACATAGTCATGCGCCCGTTCAGGACAGGACAGGTTCTGGAAAAGGCATCATCAGGTGATTTCATCCTGTGTAAACTTCTGTGCCAGGGCATGTGTCCATGAAGATGTTTGAGGACCTCAGTAGGGACCACTGCCACACACACCATCTCCCAATAAAATGGGATTTTATCAAAAGGCGGAGCTTTTGCTCAATAAGTGAAGCATCCAGCTTCCTAGTCCTCTGCCCCAGCTCGACTCAAACAGCAGTTGGCCTGCAAGAACACTCAGCCACAGCCCCACCTCCCCGTGTCCCTCTAAGCACTTGCAGGGGTCACTTATCCAAAGAAAGGCTAAACCACTCACAGACTGCAATGGCGAAGTTTCAGCTTTCTAGCTTTTCACTGCTGTTTTCATGGGTCTATTTGCCTGGTTTAGGGACAAAGTCCTTTGGCATATGGCTACAGAGTTGGACTGAGAAAAAGACCCTGAGCGAAGTGAACAAAGTCCCAAGGAGACGTGGGAAATGACCGTGACTTTGGGGAAAGAAAAGTCACTGAAGAAAATGTCTAGCAGCTGTGTTCCACTGCCGATGCTGCCTAAGCAAGGCTGTCAGCAACAAGTGTCACTTCCCTGACAAGGTGCCAGGTCCCACACCAACCCACATTCCTCCTGCCCCCGGGACCTGGGCTGAAGCGGAAAGCGGAGGAACTACCCTGCAGCCAGCGGGAGGTGGGGAAGGGTCTCTCAGCTTCTCTCAGGTCTGGCGCACCTACCTCGGGGCAAACGCCTTTCTCTTCCTGCATGGCTGAAGAAGGAACACAGCTCAGAGTGAAGGACACACCCAAGACAACCGCCTACTCGCCCAGCCTTCCTGTTCCTGTCCGAGTCACGCTAGGTTCCCACCGCAGGGAACCCACAGAAGCTCTCCTCACAAACAGCAGCCTCAGGCAGAAGCACCTGCTGTCCCGCTGCCGCCTCCTGTGAACTGGAGGCGGCCAGGCGGCCTCGGAGGAGGGGCCAGGGGAAGCGCCAAGGACTCTGTAGGGACAGGCAGTCCAGGGCCGGTTCCAGCTGGGGCAGAGGGTGTAGCTGGGGCAGGGCTCAGGAGGGGCAAAGCAAGAAGGCCAAGGAACCCGGGACTTAGCTCAGTGGTGCCGCCTCACAAGCGCAAGGACCCAAAGTATGAGCCCCGGTACAAAAAAGAAAAAAAGCCGTGGCGGCGGGAAGGGACGTGGCGGGAAGGGGACAGGACTAGAAGGGTCGTGGCAAGGCGAGGGGTTCAGGGCGCGGGTCTTCACTAAGACTGGCTCAGGAGGGACGAGCGTGCTGAGGGGTGCCCGGCAGTGCACCAAGATACCATGAGAGGGGCAGGGGTAGAACACCGAGTGGTGCGAGAGGACGCCGCAGGGGATGAGGGGACACCGTGTGGCCGTCGGGGGAAACTGCAGGGCAGCCCCGGTGGCAGCTGACGTCCTCGTCTCAGTGGCTGGGCCCGGGGCGAGGTGAGGGGAGGGGAAGGAGCCTCCTCCTCTCAGGGTGCAGAGACTCTCACCTCCCGGCGCCGGCCCGCGCGCTCCCGACTCCCCCGACGTGCGCGCTCCCGGCACCCGCCTACCTCTCCACGAATTGGCTGCGTCTTCCGTGGTCCCGCCTCCTCACCGGGTGAGGCTGAGCATTGGCGTAGCGATGACCAATCTTAGCTCTTCTTCTTGTTCGGTGGCTGTTGTCAGTCGCGAGAGCTGCGGTCTCGGTGGAGTGGCGGAATCTGTGTCTTGGAGCTTCGCGGGTTTCGGGTGCAGGGACGTGAGAGCCGCTGGCCCAGGTCAGTCCTTCCGTTTGCAGTTGGCACCGCGCTCCCTTCGCCTTCGGGATCTAGAGTCTTCTCTCCGTCCGCGGGCGGGGGTCCCGAGGTCCGGGGTCTCTCCATCCTCGGGGTCTGAGATCTGTCCGGCGCGCACGGGTCGTCTGGTCCATCCTGGATGTGGGTCTTTCTGAGCAGTCTCCTCCCACAGGTTACAGCATGGGGTTCCTGACCACAGTGACTCAAGGCCTAGTGCGAGGAGCGGACAGGATGAGCAAGTGGACAAGCAAGCGAGGCCCCCGGACCTTTTACAAGGGCCGAGGCGCCAAGCGCACGGGTGTCCACGCCCTGGGCTGGAAGTTTGTGCAGATCAAGGAACAGGTCCCGGAATTTATCGTCCCGAACTTGACCGGCTTCAAGCTCAAGCCCTACGTGAATTACCGCGTTCCGGCCGGCACAGACACGCCGCTCACAGCCAGAGCGCTCTTCATGGAAACAGTTGCACCTGCTATCGAAAGGGACTTAAAGGAAGGCACTTTTGATCCTGACAACCTGGAAAAGTACGGCTTCGAGCCCACCCAGGAAGGCAAACTCTTCCAGCTGTATCCCAAGAACTTTCCTCGCTAGAATGCAGTGAAGACGATAGGTTTGCCTGTGAACTACAGATTGAACTGACATCTCAGATTGAGTCCCAGAGAGGCGAGAGCATTCCCTCCTGGCATTTCTATTAAAGACCTCTGCTGCTGTCTAGTGTGTTTGGTATCAAGTGTTTGACAGTGTGCCACATAACAGATCCCATGCAGTTCATTCAGAGGTCCTACCCAACTGTGGCAACAGGTCTGCAGGCACACCCATGACAGGCTTGCACCAGTGAGAGAATGTATTAGGCAACACTGGCTCATTCATCCCCAAAGCAACCATTGGTATATTCCTTATGGACTCCAAGGCAGTGTTTTTCATTTTCATTGGGTGAAAAGTAACTCACTGCTCTCTTGGAGAAAACCTGAAGAGCAGGCTGCACAGGAAGTAGGTGTCAAATCCATCTCTGATGACCACTCGTTTATCTCTTTCACAGTCCCTCAGACCTGTATTCCACTGAATACTTAGCTGACCCTTACATGAAATGTTCTTCACACAAAGTAGGCTGGGCATGGTAGTGCACATCTGTAATCCCAGCGATTGGGAAGCTGAGGCAGGAAGATCACTGTGAGATGAGGCCAGGCTGGGCTACAGAGTGATTTCACAGCCAGCCTGAACTGAATAGTGTCTCCAAAACAAAAAACATACTCCAGAAGAGGGCCCAACATGTTTTTATTTCAAATAAATGGGTCAACTGGGCATGGTAGCACAAATGTAATTCCCAACCTTCAGGAGGCTGAGATGGGAGGGTGAGTTCTAGGCCAACCTGGGCAACTTAGTGAAACTATAAGACAGGCTGGGCATGTAGCTCAGTGGTAGAGTACATGTCTAGCAGGAAGGCTCTGGTTTCAATTCTTAGTACCCAAAATAAAAGGGCCATTAGCTGGGATTTGCTTATTGTAATAGAAAAATGTAATCAATCTGACCTACATTGGCATGTCCTGTCATCAGAAAATAAGACAAGGGTAGAACTACTGCCTGTCTTCTCTTCCAGAGCCATCGTGTCCTGTGGAAGTGTTGAGGACCTGACAGCTTGGCCATCAGTCTGGCCTACTTCCTCCTAGAGACCAGTGGAAGCCACATGGCTTACACACCTGACCTGCATTCTCAGTTGCTGTGGGTCTAGGACTTGGAAGCCTATCAGTTTGTTAATGTAATTAGTGCCCCACACTACCTCCATCTGCATCACAAGTATGACGCCCCCTGAGGCGGTTCAGGAAGTACCTCTTCCTTTTGTTCTACCATAGCAGAAAGTCTTTTCATGTGCTTTTAAAAATGTTAAGGTTTGGGGGTGTATCTCATGTATGAGGCCCTGGGCTGGATCCTCCACACCAAAAGAAAATTCATGCAATTACAAAATTATTGTTACAAAGTAACTTCCCCCCAAAAAACAGCTTCATTTAATTAATACAAAGAGTTATTTAAAAACATTATGAAGGGCTGAAAATCAACAGGTATCCAAGAAATTTCAGTTTTGGAGCTGGAAAGTCCCACTCACTGCCAGAAAGAAACCCAGTCCACCCCAGTAGCCCAGCACAGAGGGTGTCACTCCAGGTGTAGTCTAGTAGTTAGTTAGTTCCTAACTAACTTCGTTAGTTCCCATGCTAATGAGGATTTGTTCATAAAGTCTTTTCCTATGCCAATGGCTTCAAGACTTCTGCCTAACATCTTCCAGCAAGTTTAGTGTTTCTGTTTTAATATTTAGATCTTTAATCCACTTGGATTTGAGTTTAGTGCTTGGTGAAAGATAGGAGTCTAGTTTTAATCTTTGGCAAGTCACAATCCAGTTTTTCCAACACCCTTTATTAAAGCTCTTTCCTCCAGTAAGGGTGGTTGGCTCCTTTGTCAAAGATGAGGCACCTGAGTATGTCTGGAGTTGCTTCTGCATCTTCTCATCTATTCCACTGATCCTTGAGTCTGTTTCTTTGCCAATACCATGCTGTTTTTAACACAGAGGCTCTGTAGTATAGTTAGTTTCAAATTGGGGATTGTGATATCCCCTGCCATGTCTCTGTTGCCTAGAATGGCTTTTGCTCTTCTAGGTCTCTTCTGGTTCCAAATGAATTTTTGGATTGTTTTCTCTAGTTCTGGTCCTCCCATTTCCAGAGGTGGAGAGCGTGATCGTAAAAGGAGCAGGTGGCCAGAAGCCTAATGTCAGAGTTCGCCCCTTTGAGGTAGAAGTCAGAGTCACAGAACTTGGCTGGGATGTATGGTTGGCTGCTGCTATCCCTCATGTCCTCTGTAAGTGGCAAGAGAAAAGACTGCAGCTTCACCCAGCTGCTGTCAGTTATCCCACCCTTGCCATCCTCACCCTCTTATCTGCGTAGAGGAGGGCACCAGTGGTTCACCTGCAACTTTCAGGCCACAGACATGGTCTCCTATGTCAATGTCAGGAAGGGATGCAGGGGGCACTGGCTGCAGAGAACAGAAGACGAGCCAGGACCAGTCAGCCCCATACACCAGCGAGGTGGGCAGCTTGTGGGACTCCAAGACTGTTACTTCCTGCTTCTCTGAAGCAAGAGAAAACAGAAAACAACATTACCCTGTGAGCTCCAGGGTCAGCCACATCTGCAGAACACAGGAACTCAGGGGCTAGACCTCAGTTCAGGCTCATAAAAACAAAAGACAAAGGAGCAGCCAGGTGGGAGGAAAGAGACTGATGAGAAACAGGGAGCACACACAGTACAGGTCAGGAGGACCCCACAAGCACAGTGACAATGACAGGTGGTTAGTGGGTCCAAAGCATGCAGGTTGTGTGCTCTGATGTGATTCTCATAACAGTGTTTTTCTGCAGAGCTCCTGGGGCTGCTTGGAGAGAGGAGGCAGGACAACAAAGAAGCCAACGGTTCCCATAGTGCACAGCTTGGGGGGGGGTGTACAGAAGAAACATTGGGGCCAGAGAGAGAAAACAACCACGGCCAAACCTAAGCAGGTCCACTGCCTGCCAGCACAGCCACACAAGTCAAAGTGGCCTCCAACACCAGTGGCAGGTAAGCCAAGAAGCCAACCTGAGCACCAAGAAAGTCCCAACAAAACTAGAACAGAGTGGGCTGGGGATTTAGCTCAGTGGTGCTGCCGCCTGCCTCACAAGCACACAGTCCCGAGTTCAATCCCCAGCACCAAAAAAGGGTATATAGAATGTTACTTTTGTAACACAGGGTTTCACTATGTAGTCCAGGCTGGCCTTGAACTATGAACTCCAGGCTGCCCTCAAAGTCACAGGAACCCTCTTGCTTCAGCCTCCTGAGTGCTGGGAATACAGGCATGTGCCACCATGTCTGGTTTATAGAATGTTGTTTCGTTTTTTCATGGTAATGGGAGTTGAACTCAGGACCTTGCTCTTGCCAGGTAGGCATAGCAGCACTGAACTACATTCCAACCCCTAGAATGTTATGTTTTATAAGATGAAATAAACAAGTTAATGCAGGGGCCGGGGATTTAGCTCAGCGGTTTGGTGGCCTGCCTCATAAGCACCAAGGACCTGAGTTCGATCCCTGGTACCAAAAAAAAAAACAAAAAAACAAATTAATTCTTATGCTTATTAATGTTTTTACACATTGGAAAGATGCAAATGAAATCAATAAGAATAAAGAAAAAATCCTTTAGGCAGATGTCTGTAATACCAGCACTCTGGAAAGCTGACCCAGGAGAAACAGGCTCTAGCCCAGCCTGGGCAAGTTAGAAATTTAATAAAACCATACGCCTCAAGCTGGGTGTGGTGGTGCACACCTGTAATCCCAGCACTTGGGAGGCTGAGGCAGGAGGATTGCTGTGAGTTCGAGACCAGCCTGGGCTACATAGTTCCAGGTCAGTCTCAACTACACAGTGAGACCCTGTCTCAAAAAACCAAAAACCAAAACCATATGCCTCAAAAGCAAAGAATAAAACACGAGAGATGCAGCTCGGTGTGAAGACCCTGGCTTCAATATCCAATAGCACCAAATTGAAAAAACACAAAATCCTTTTAAACACTACATAGTTCTTTGACTCTTTTATCTTGATCAGCAAGACCTGCAGAAATGTCTTAAACCCACATGGCACATTTCTCTCCAGTGTGAGCCCCACTGTGAGGTTAAGCGCAAGAGATGTTGTGGGGAGCCAGGTTCTCACTAGTGAGGGACACAAACAGAAGGGGGCAACCAAAAACATGTGTGCTGAGCTGCAATCAGAGGTGGCATTGTGAACGTGTGTTTATGTGCGTGTGTAGGTGTGAGGGTGCAGAGGTGTGCGTATGTAGGTGTGTGTGGGTGGTGTGTGACTGTGGACTGAATCCAGGGCCTTGCACACACTCTGCCTGTGCTCTACCATTGAGCTACATCCCTACACACACACACACACACACACACACACACACACACATGAGAGCACAAACAACCCTTCAGTATCTGTAAAGGTGAACATTGATCAGATCTTGATTTTTTTTTCTGGACAGGGTCTATGTATCCCAGGCTGGCCTCCAACTCATGGCAATCCCGTTGCCTCAGTATCCCGAATGCCACTATGCCTAGCTCAGATCTTGATTTTCTTTTTTTTTCTTTTTTGGTACTGGAAATTGAACTCAGGACCTGTGCTTGAAAGGCACGCACAGTGCCACTGAGCTAAATCCCCAGCCCTAGATCTTGATTTCTTTCTTCTTTTGTTTTGGTACTGGGGATCGAACCACAGGTGGCGAAACCACTGAGCTAAATCATCCCCGGCCCTAGATTTCTTAATACATTCACCACTAAGAAGATCCAGGACTCCCTGGAAAAATGAATCATTCCAAGATTGGGAGAGAGAAAATATAAAATGAACCTGGAATATATTATACCAAAAAGGACATGTTCAAATAAACAACAGTACATGTGCAAAGAAGAGATGGCAGCCTGCAGAGGCTTTCACAGAAGACTCTGGGACAGTGTGAATATCACACAACCAGTGCAATAACAGAATACAACTCCACAGTAATAGAAAAAACAATCTATTAAAATGGGCTGGTGACCTGAGGCAGGAGAACCGCTGCAAGTTCAAGACCAGTCTGAACTACATAGCCAGATCCTATCCCAAAATAAAACAATAAAATAAAGTGAAAGTACATACAGGCAGACATAAGGGAGAAGAGGAAGCTCAACCTTATAAAAGAATGCTAATCAACACACGTAGAGAGACAGAAGTCACGGTTTCTCAATGATCATAGTAATAACTCACTCAGGGACTGCCATAGCTTCAAAGCCTCCCACGCACAGTTCTCCTTTATTACAGAGGGGAGTCTTAAATGTCTACAGGGGAGACATGGTGGGTACCACCTTCACAAAGGGGCCAGAACTCACGTCGCATTGCTAGGAACTGGGGCAGCCAGCACCCCTGCCAGGAGGCACCAGGAGGACCAAGACTACTGGCAAACAGGAACAGAAAGGACGAGTGGCTACACTCCTAACAGACAAAACTGACTCTGAAACATAAATGTTACCAGGCATAAGGGACCCTAATGAGAAAGGGGTCAGCTGGGAGCAGATGGGACAATTTTACCCACACCATCTAATCAAAGAAGCACAAACTGACACAGACCAGGAGGAAACAGACTTAGAGATTTCAACACCCCATGTTCAATGTCGACCCAGACGGGGTGAGAACTGGAGGACCCATGGGTCTGACTGTGTACTCTTCCCCGGTGGGCACCGGGCAGGCTCCAGGACAGACCAAGTGCCAGTTTGTGGGCTCAGTTAGAAATCACAACTCTAAGGCCAGGGATTTAGCTCAGTGGTTCTGCTGCCTGCCTCGCAAGCACAAAGATCGGAGTTCAATCCCTGGTACCAAAAACAAAACAAAACAAATCACAACTCTATAAAGTCTGCTAATTAACAGCTTGTGGTCAACAAAGAAATCAGAAAGAAGACTGCAAAACACTTTGTGATGAGTGAACATAAAGATCTGATAAACAGAAGGGTTCAGGATGTGGCAAACGCAGCACACAGAGGAAACGGCCGCTGTGAGCAGCTATGCTAAGATGACAGACCTCAGATATTCCAAGATGAAAGATGTTCCCGTCACCAAAGCTACAGCAGGTGAGCAAGCAGGGAAGGGATGCAGAGCAGAGGGGCACAGAGCAGGGCAGGCCCGGGAGGACAGTCACAGCAGCTCAGGGAGGGTGGTGGGGACGCTCAAAGGCTGGCAGGTTTGATGGTGGGGGTAGAAGGACAGGGAGAAGGACGAGGGAACAGCCTTGACCATGGGAGTTCGTGCTAGAGGCATCCTTAGAAGTGAGGCTGCTCCAAGAGCTGAGCTCACTCTGCCAGAGCACTGAGAAAGGGGTCAAAGGGAAGTCAGTGCATGTGGGACACAGGACCAGAGTCCACGCCACTCCCAGGCGAGAACAGAGGTGGGCTGCGCAGTAATGACAAAGGCAAGCTTCCTGCAAGGGTCCCCAAGGGGCCAGTCACAGAACGCAGGAGGAGCCTGGATGGCGGAGACGAGTAGCAGATGAGAGACGGTGCTGGTTACTGAGGTCCTGGGAAAGGGAAGCAGCGAGTCTAGGTCAGGAAGGGGACACAGAGCCCAGCCAGCTGCAGGTCCCCACGTACCTGTGACATCATGGCAGTCGAGGATTGCGAAGCCTCGGTGCATGCAGGCTGCCAGGAGAAGGTCGTGGTGGAATGGGTGCCACCTGAGCCTCCACACCCCACCCTGCACGTGAGCGTCGGCCAGTGGCTGCTCCATGTTCCGCGTGTCCCACAGGAGCACATGCTCGTCATAGCTGGAATTGTCCACCCAGGCTTGTGGGACCAGGGCTCAGTCCCTCCCCAAGGCAGGACACCTCCCAAAGACCATCCTACTCATCCTGTCCCTCTCCCTACCCAGATACCTGCACAGTAGGCTGTGGGCACCATGGGCAGGCAGGTACTCACCTCCCTGTGGCCAGCATGTGCTCCCGATGCAGGCTGCTCTGGATACTGCAGACACCCATGGCATGGCTGCAGGCAACAGCCAGCCTGAGCGCCAGCGGGGACAAGGGACCACAGGGACTGGGGCCCGGTCCCCCTGCACTGACGCTGGGCAATTACCTTGAGCTGGTGAAGACACACGAGCCAGGAGTCCTGGTGTCCCAGCCTTTCAGTAGGCCATCGTCCCCACCTGCGTGGACACCGAAGCCCACTGTCACGGCACTGATGGCCGGATATAGCCAGGGGTCTGTGAGGTCCCTGTGAGGATGACTGTCCCTGAGGGTTTAAGATGCCCTGGAACAGGAGAACCCCAGGGAAAGCAGGAAGAAGGACCACCACTGCACCCACCTCAGACTCAAGGAGGGTTAGGAGGGAGGAGACGCATAACACCCACAGGGCTATAGTAGGGAAGTCACCCAGGTCACACAGGCCAGGCTGCCACCTGCTAGGCTCCAGCATCACAGTCCTCAGCTGCTCAGGCTGACCCCTGCCCAGGAGCTGCCTGCAGGGAGCAGCAAACCACAGCACATATCCCTGGGCTGCAATGGGAACTCTGTGTAACCCACAGGGAATAGGACATTGTGCTGGCTTCAGAGGAACCATTAAGAATAAAGAACAGGGCAGCTGGCACTCTGACCCAAACCAGTCTACGAAGCAACACCCTGAAACAGGGTGGATGACAGTGGCAGCTTAGGGGATAGAAGAAAAGGCTGAGGACCAGGGCTCACAGCAAAGGTGAGGGGGCAAAAGGAACATGGCAAGGTCTGGATTGCCACCACCCACCATCCGGCCGGCATCCAGCACCATTTACCCATCTATCACACCAACCAGATACCCACTACCCACTACGATCCGTCCACTGGGCCATCCAGCCACCTTTACCCGCTCACCACCCACCATCTACCTCCCATCACCGCGCAGAAGCCACCATCCCACCTGCAGGCTGCCAAGCCCTGGGACCTCTGACTTCATCTTCTTCCTCTCTCCTTCCTGCTCACCACAGGCCACCAGCTCTTCCACACCAACCTCGCCCCTGCCGCAGACTGACCAGGACTACCTGGACCTGCCCCAGAACCTCTCTTCTTCGTTCCAAAGCACTACTACTTTGACACTCTGTGCATCTCCCTTAGTTATCACTGAAGTTTGGTTCGCGTCAATTTACATCCTTGCTCCCCTGCCCACTTCATCGGAGCTTGGCAAAAGCAGTGACTTTAGTGTGCTCTGCACACTAACATAACCCCAGCACCAAAGCAGTGCTCCACAAAATGCCAGCTCAGTAGGTCACCTGTCGAGTGGATAGACTTGTCCTGAATTACTAGATGACTGCTGCTAGATTGCCACAACCCTGCTCTGAATTTTGCATTTTATCCTAAACAAAGGATCTAAAAATGGAGTAGAGGGTAAAAAAATGGAGTAGGTGTGATGACGTTTGCATGTTTTTGCAATCATTGTGCTCGTACTGATTGGCAACCGGACTGGGAAGGGTCAGGAATGGACACAGGCTATTCACCAGCTGTGCTTTGTCACAACTCAAAGAGATGACTTCAGGGACAGGCGGCCGTGTGGAAGGGAACAAGAGGTGGGCAATTCTGAGAGATGCTTAGAAAACAAAACAGGTTAAGACAGGGGCAAAGCATGTCCAACATGCATGATGCCCTGGGTTCCATCCCTGTACCCAAAAGAAAAATCTCTAAAATGGGGACTCATGAGAAGGTGAGGGACACAGGTAGCAATAATGGCTCCCAGGCTTCTAACCCTAGCAAGCAGAACACATTCAACCACAGGGCGGTGTGGGAAGGAGTCTGCCACAGGAGCAGCATGCAGCAAGGCTCAGTTGAAGACGATGGAAACATCCCATCAAGGAGCAAGAAACAGCCCGTCAACCAGCAAGGAAGAAGCCAGTGGGCTGGAACACCTCTGCGCAGAGGGGCAGCAGTGTTGGAAGAAGGCATGCAGGAGATATGGGCCATGACGGGCCAGGCAGAGGGCAAGGCAGGCCGACTGGCTCATGCAGCTGTCTGGGATAAAGGCAACCTGGGAGCCATGGCCACCAGCAAAGACCTTGGCATGGGGGACAGGGCAGAAGAGTCTGCAGGGTGGGAGCAGACCTACAGATCTCTGCAGCTGCACAGAACGCTTCCACAACACCTCCCTGGGGACTCTGGGCCCCACTACTATCCCAGTGGAGTTCATAAAAAGGGGTCAGATTGGCTGGGTGCACTGTTGCATGCCTATTATCTTAGCTACTTAGGAGCCAGAAGCAAGAGGGTCACAAGTTCAAGGCCAGCCTGCTGAACTCAGTGAGACTCTTTCTGAAAATAAAAAGGGCTGGAGATGTAGCTCAGTGATAGAATGCCCCTGTGTTCCATCTCTAATACCCCCCTAAAGAAGAGGAGTGAGGGTGAGCTTTTTTCCCTTGGTTCTTTTTTCTTCTTTTCCTTTTTCTTTTTTTTTGTGTGTGTGGGGATCGAACTGAGGACCTTATACTTTTGAGGCAGGCACCACTGAGCTAAATCCCCAGCCCTCCTTGGCTCTTTTCAAATCTAATGGCTCCTCTTCTGTCTTCTCAAAGCCCAGCACCTCCACGTCTGCCCATGTAAGAGAAGCTCCCAAAAGCTGCCTAGCTGCTAATTTCTCATTCCACATCAGTGTCCCCAAAGAACAAACTAAAGACCAGAAAATTCATCTTCTTTGTCTCACGCTTTCTTTTCTTTCAGAAGGTAAACTATAGCCTGAAATCTGCAAGATCAGCAGATGGGGAGAAGTGTGGAAACTGGACGGAGAGCAGTGCTCAGGGGAAGGGAGAGGGCACCCTGGCCTGTGGGGACAAGAGGTGTGGCTTCCTAAGGGACAGCAAGTGCTGCTGACCACAGCTGCTGTCTCAGAAAACATGGTCTCTATGCAGGTTGGTGATACTCAGCCTTTGCCAGAGCCTCATTCCCTATTTCCCTCACCCAAGTCCTTCAGTGCGTCAACCATGTCGACATCCAGCTGAGGAATACTAACCTGAATACACGACTTCTGTCTGCCAGTAGTTGAAAGCAGCGATCCAGGCCTCAAAGCGGTGGGCTTCCCATGTGGCCACTGGCTGCAGCCTGGGCCCTGCTTCGTCCAGCATGAGGAGGTGCAGCTGCCCCTTGGAGTCACTGCTGACGATCTTCAAGGGCTGGTCACTGACTCTAGACACAGGAAGACAAAGGAGAAGCCCACTGTGCTCTACTCACCACCCTTGACACGTCCCAACGTGTCCTGGGAGGGGTTCCCATGGATAGGTCTCCGAGACAGCTTGCTAGGGCACATGGCAAAGGCCAGAACTATACTGTCAACTTCCCCAATGACAACATTACCACCATGCATCTAGCATGCTAGGACTTTTCTGTTTTTTAGATCATGCTGGTGTGAAGACAGGAATCCACTGTCAAAGGAAAGTCTGAGGGCCCTTGACCAAGCCTGGGCCTTACCTTCCACGCTTTCCTGTGGACCAATCCAGTGACAAGGCCAGACGCTCCTCCCCTAGCGAGAAGCTGCACCAAGGCTCCAGGAGGGGCCTGCTCTTCTACTGGAGAGAAAGAAGCTCCGCACAGACCAGCCTCGCTCTCCTGCTCACTCCCCAGGTGGACACAGGGCACAGGCCACTGCCACCCTGCCATGCACAAGGCACTGGGCAGGGCTAAGGACCCTAGCACTCACCTCCAGGGCTCCCTCACACACGTGACCCTGGGACAAGAAGATCTCTCGCTTCACCACCTGTGTTCTAGACATGATGCTGCCTCTGTGGGTTCCACAGGCCACATGCTGTGTATTACCTAGACCTCCAGGGGCCCTGGCCCATCCGTTTTACAGAGATGAAGACAAAAAGCCACCGTAGCTGTTCCAATGCTACTTCTCTTATCTAGGACCTAAACACTGATCAGCGCTAACGCCATTAGCAGCTCCTCAGTGGGTATCAAAAAGCCCCTTCCTAGATGTACGTGGGTCACCTAGAACCCGGTCTTGGGCATTTCCTTCCCTCACCCCTAGAACAGGTGACTGCTCTGAGCAGGCCCTTCCTGCACAGGCCCTTGCCACCGCAGCTCAAGGGACCTGAGCCTGGTTCCACGGCAGCAGCCACAAGTATGTCTCTGACTCTGGGTCAGCAAGTGGCCAAGGGCAGGCAATGTCCTCTTAAATGGTTTGCTCTCATGAGAGATCCATTTTCACACTGGGTCACCACTGCCGTTCCCAGCCTCAGCATCAACACCATGCATACTTGGTCCACTGTGCCTGCAGAGCCTCAGGCCCACGGAGTTCATAGCTTGTCACTGTACCTCTCACTAGAACGAGGTACGATTTAAAACAGACCCTGCACTCTCTTGGAATTTTCAGATCAAATGCAAGCACTGAACAGACTGCTTTGGGAAGAGGTCCATTCCAGTACGGCCCCCTCCCAGCCCTCCTCACCCACACAGCCAGGCACCCACCTCAGGCCCCACCAGGCGGAGCAGCTCTACAGATCCACTGGCATCCGCCACACCCAAGATGCCACAGCCAGCCACCGGGACGTGGCACCTGGGGAGAGGGCCCCGTCAGAGCACAGGTCACGCAGTAGCACAGAAAGCATTACCATCTTGGGATTTGTCACTCAGGTTCAGCTCTAAAACCAAGTTGGAGCCCATAATCCTACAGCCAACCCAGAGGTTCCCCGACTTCCAAACTCAACTCCTTTTGCCTCCCAGGCTCAACCTCACTCTGGGCCCCAAAGCGGGCAAGGAGCCCCACGGAAGCATCGGCCCTACCACCTGCCACGGGGCAGTGGGACAGCAAAGAAGCGACCCACAGTCCATGTGCTTCCAATCTCGCCAAAGGCCCTTGGACACCAGGTCCCACTCCGTGAACAGATGCTCGGTACAAATGCCGGGCTGCGCGGAGTGGTCACCGAAGTGGTACCATTTCATGTCCAGCACTGCAGACGTCTCTCTCCTTTGGACCTCGACCAGAGAATAAGCAGAGTCATCCTCGCTGATACTGTACAGGTAAACGCGGCCCAGACGGACTTGCAGCTGCTCAACGTCTCCGTCCACGCCTACTCCACCCTACAAAACACACGCCTGCTCTGACTACCTTACAGATGCTGGGACTCCTACGAATGGAGAACCACATCCGAGGCACGAAAGGCTTGGCCGACACCCGCTCTGTGTGGCGGCAAAACTGCTCAATCTGAGTAGGCCGAGCCCTCTTTCCCGGCTCGTATCAGTGAGTCTGTGAACTCTGGACGCAGCAAGCAAAGTTTCTAAACGGGCCGAGGCGCCCCAACAGCCGGGGTGACTGCGCCGCCGCCCCCGCCCCTC